CCACGAATCACCGGTAAGAAGGAAGACGTCGATGGTTTTCAGATCTTCCTGACACGTGGCGCTCGTCATAACGCCGCCGAGCCGCAGCAAGATTACCGTCACAAGCACCGCCACACATTATCATCTCGTAATATAAGGCATTTGAGTACGAATTCATTGCACTGACAGCACACAAACATAACACACAGGTAAACAGAACGAGAATGAAAAACAAACCAAAAGTCCCGAAAGAACGAAAACGTAAGTTGACCTTCTAAATTCTGAAAACTCACAAGTACGCCGATGAAAGTCACGGACACGACTGACGCGATGACCAAAACTACATAGGTTATTATTATTGCAACTCGAACACCAATGTACCTAAATCTAAAGTGCACCGATTTAGGGTCCCGCGTCATCAAATTCTGTGTTACGTAATCTACCTAACAAAAAATCGTTATTTTTTTATTGAATTAAACAATGAAATTTCAAAGTAACTTATCATACCATTTTTTACTGACGAAATTGATAATTAGGCTGTTTACTTATTATTACAATTTTATTTACGCTTTTCACGGTTACAAAAGAAAAAAAGGTCATAATATTAAAAGTGGTTACCTAATTTAAGACCAAGTCATTAACAAAATTATAAGGCATAAAAATTATTGATTAAATTAGAAAAGAAACGAAATATTATTTATTATTAGACCTTTCCATTACAACTAACCTTTATTTAATTATCATTTAAACTAAGAATAAGCGAGATACTTAGATTATTAATATCATTGTGTAAGTCTGTATTTTATTGTGTTCGTAAAAATAACACGACTTTATGAAAAAAATAACAAAACTTCAAAGCAAATAATCTTCAGAACCTTACTGACACATCAGAAACCCGAGTTTCTCAATACACATCGTCGTCGATTTTATGTCTCTGTCGCTCCTTCTTGCATAGACTAATGTGAGCAATGGTGCAGATATTGAACTTCAATCAAAGTATTTGCAGTTTCTTTTTTATTTTGACTGTATTATTAGAGAAGTTTCCTTAATAATAGTTTTTGAAACACCGTTAATCACAAGATTAGTGTTTTTTTATGGTTAAAAGTCATTTACTACTAACTTTTTCTTGTTTGGAAATAATAAATTACTCTCGGATGCATATTTATTCTAGGCATTTATCTTTAGATTTATTTAACTTCTGTAATTTTTTAAACTAGTTCGGCACATGGAGTCGATGACCAAATACAACACAACAGCTGTTTTTAGGGTTGTCAGCGTACAGTTTTACTTCGAAGAAAAAAGCTGAATATCTAGGTCATGTGCTGGGTTTCAGACTTAGTTATCATTTTTCTGGGTTCTATTCATCATACCGTATGTGCCATTTTCGGGATTATACAGGTATTACCAAACACGCTGTATATGATATTATGATTCATAATTAACTTTGTTATTACAAACCACAAAGTTGAACGACTTAAAAATAACTTATACGAATTAAAACTTTTCGTTTAGTCATATTGCGCTTAAACTTCAAGTATCTTTATTCTCTAAGAATTATGACACTTATGTAGATCGATGTAAAAATAATTATCTACCCAGATATTTATTTTTATAAGAATAAAAAAGAACAAAAATAGGTATATTACCATTTCACCATAGAATTACTTTTTTCCTTTTTGTAGACAGTGCGATAAAACTTTAACACTACAATATTATCAATATGTCTACTTGAAGCTTGGGAAATAGTGATGCGGCCGATTTTGCTCCCGCTAGGTAGCGCTAGCGTTGTAGCGGATCTTAAGCGCCGATTTCACTACCCAATTTATCGGGCACGGTCCATCGGGTACACTGTAAATTGGGAAGTCTAATCGCTGTTAGCGAGTTAGGGTCCCAATATCGGGTGATCGTGAGCGCCCGGTTGCGCAGCGTGCGTGTGAGACGTCAGTGAACAACAACGAAATTTGCGAACAGAGAAAAAGTCTTCTCAGAAGGAAAAAGAAATAATATTAAATGTAAATGTTATTGAATATTATTAATTTTTCTTATAATATATATATGATATAATGTTTTAAATATTTCAAGATAGCTCTGCATGTGTTTGGTACAATTTTTGATAGCAGGGGTTCTGATATCAATGATTTTTGTGAAATTAAAAATTTATAATTATGCATTATATTTTTTTTCTAAATTACAATAATAAAAACTAATGCTCCTTTCTATTATTGTTGTGCCCGACAGGGTCCATAGTGAGACTAACTTAATTATGTAACATTATTTTAAATTACTTATGGAAACAATAAACTTATTGAGTATTTATACTTTAAGTCATGATATGCATTTCCCGTTGCTAAAAATTTTACGGTTACAGCATAGCTAACATAGCATACAGCATAGCGTATAATGTTTTTTTTTATATAAGGTATAACTATGTTTAATAATGATCAAATTGTGCAGAACTCATTCTGAAGTAGTTCAAACTGCATAGTTTGTCTTTCAACGCCATGTTTGCATGCCAACTGAGTTAGGGAGGCGATCTAGTGCAGTGTAATTACAACGATGCCAACCGTCCTAAATCGTGGCCGATAAATCGTGCCCGATAGATTGGGTAGTGAAATCGGCGCTTTACTGGATCATAAATAGTCACTTTCGTTCAATTACAGAACCCTCAAAATAATATGGATCTTCGATTAACAATACAACTAGATGCCCGGTCAGTCTCAACAATGGCCGAAAACATAAGGTCTCACTTCAAAGGGTGGTCTTATTTTATTTGCGATGGCGCTAACGTATTACGATTACGATTATAACTGTAAATATAAGTATCGGAATAAAATATTATCTGTTGGAATATCATATTTTCAGGTTGTGAATGCGATTTTACATTGTCGTTAATGAATGAGGTTGTATTTTAAGAAAAAAAAGAAAGTACTAAAAAGCACCCCACTAGATGGCGACTCTACCAGAAGTTGATTTTTGCAGGAAACGAATGAACCAAAGATAGTTATTTTCGTTCCTTTTAACTAACATATTAAAAAAATTGAGTTCTTAAACTTAATTTGAAAGAAAACAGGAAGGGTTGTCATGGAGAAATCAAGAAAGTACAGTAGCTATATCTATTTCGAATTCGGGAATTGATTTTGTTTTAAATACTTCCTCATAATCAAAGTATTTTCAATAAAACAGACTTTTGTTTCTGAGTCAACCTGCACACCAAGATGGCAAACATTAAAAAACTTACCAAATATTCGATGTTCTAAGACAGTACATACACGAAGAAGAGTACTATTACAATATTTTTTTTACCAATAATTTAAACACTAATGAGAAAGTATTAAAAAAAATTAAAGCACTAAAAAGCACCTCCCCTAGATGGCGACTCTAGCAAAGGTTTATTTTTGCAGGAAACAAATGGACCAAAGACAGTCATTTCCTTTTAAATAACTTATTAAAAACTGAAATTTGAAAAGTTCGAAACTAAGATATCAATACAAATAGAATATGAGTTGTTTACTGAGTTTTGAAAACTAATTTACTTTTAAACATGAAACAAAACTGGAAGGGTTGTCATGGAGAAATCAAGAACGTACCGTAGCGACATTTAGTTTGATTTCGGGAACAAATGTTATTTTTTGAAATACTTCCTCATTGAAAACCATCTTGGTGTAGTGGTTCGTGTCTTCGATTAGAAATCCGTGTGCATAAGCATGTGGGTTTGTATCGATGTGGGTGTTTTATATGTATTTTGAGTATCTGTTACGGACGGCGGCCACAGAGTCACCTCCCCGCGACCTCACCCCCGCAACGAGTGGAGGGGGCACGTCACGGGCGGCAGCAACGGGAAAACCTCCCGCAACTTCGCCCTCGTATGGAGTGGAAGGGGCAACACCAGAACATATAAGTGTTCGGTTAATTACCGCGTTAGAATAGTAGCTAGGTGCGATCGACCAAATCCCACCTAAGCAAGTCGGAACCGTGCGTATGCATGCCTGCGAACGTTTTCGTACCTTGTACTGCAATAGAATAAAGAATAAATACCTCATCTCTCCAAACTGTTTTGATCCCCAACAGTTTTCATTTACAAAAAATTTATTTAAAACAAAAGAAGCGTTCTCTGAAAGTGGCCCATTAAAACATAAAAAAGAATTATTAAAATCAGTGCTCGAATGTTAATAGTTTTTTCTGTAAACATTACAATTATAGGGAGTAATAATTTTCTTGTCCGAGTTTATATTTTTAATATTAAGATTATATTTTTGTTGGTTGATTAAACATATAAATTATTATTATTTATCAAAAATAATCAGCGAATAATCTTTCTTTGTGAATTTTTTAACCATATGTGTATTTTACTAAGTAATATAAAATTAACAAAGCGGCTCCATACTTACCCAGTTCCGGAGCTCAGTTGTCGCCTAGAGTATTATCATAGTATATATTCTTTGGTATTATGTTCCTTGGTTATCGCAGTGTATGGTGGCGTATTCAAGTATTGTTTTGGTATGCGAGCTCACTCGGACCGCTGGACCTGAAAATTCAGTGTAGTGCACAAGCGCCCTTACAATGAATTATTAGTACGAGTATATTCAATTTATTTAATGCACATAAAAAAAAATTATGGAATAATTATGAATTTGGAATGTTTCGATTTTCTTGGATTTTTTGATTGCCACTAAGTTTGTCGCAAATATTTTAAAAAGTACACCTGCCTGCATGTTAGTTTATCACAAATATATCAAATTAATCGAGTTAATTTGAAACTTTCCCTCCAAACATTAAGATTTATGGGATTTAACGGATTTGTATACCCTGATGTGCTGTTGACTGTAGTTACATGGTGTCATCCAAATAGCATAGATTTTTATTGCGGAAATACTTGGTTTTCATGCCTTTTCATTTTTAGAATAACATTACTAATAAAACGAAAATAAATACATGAAATCAAGGCTGAATAAAAACCAATTCCTTTGACATTCGATAAAAGCCGTCTTTCACTGACCCATAATTTGGCTGTATAGCTTAGTTCCTTCGCCCGTTCCATGGACGAACGTCTTTCACTGTCAATTAATGTCAAAAAATAACAAATAAACAAAACCTGCAAAATAGTTTTCGATACAGGGACGGGGAAATTTAATAAATTGATAAAATGGCCAGTTATCAAGAAGTTTATAAAAAATTGTGCCGTATATGTTTATCTTACGATACCAAAGAAGGTATGGTAAGTTTGACTGAGAAAAACAATGAAGATGGAATTAGTCCATATGGGAAAGCAGTTTTAATTTTTGCCAAGATCTCTTTAAAACCTAATAATAATTTTCCCACTTTCATGTGTAAAAACTGTTTGATATTATTAAAACAATCAATTAGTTTCAAATTAAGATGTGAAAGAAGTGAAAAACAGTTGATGAAATGTGCAGAAATATACCAAACTACAAAGAACGACGGAACTAAATTCGAAGAAATCGTTGTTGATAATATTATATTTTCAAAATATTTCCCTGACGAAGCAGCTGGCAAAATAAATATTAGTCAATACGATAACCAAAATGTAAACGACATAAGACAGGAAACTGATGAAGAATCAGAGCAGGTTGTGTCATCAAGTTTTTCAGAACAAAGTGATAATGAGCAAATTTATCAAGAGTCTGATGTCGACAGTTCAGACGAAATATTGAATGTAATGGAGGCAAACATTGGTCAGTATCCCAGAGTGAAGAGTGTAGATTATAAAAGTTACATACATCAAAAGATGATACGTAGAAAAAGGAGATTAGTGAAAATAATAGCTAAACAAGACACAAGTCGACGTGCTCAAAATGCCTTAAAACTTAAGAGACTGAAAATGCAAATTTTGTCAAGGAGTGCCATTTTGAAGGAAAAACTAGTTTGTGAAACATGTAACAAGGCTTTTGCCAATAAAAATACTTACCGATATCATATGCAGAAACATAACGGCTACAACTATATATGTGAGCACTGTGGAAAAGGTTTTCCTTTGGTAGCAGAGCTTAATTTACATCAACTTGCACGTCATGGCACTGGTCCATATATACAGTGTAAACTCTGCAATTTCAAAGCATCTAGGAAGCATGATTTAATTGAGCATGAACGATTACACACGGGTGAAAGGCCATATACTTGTGATAAATGTGGTTTGACATTCCGCAGACGTGCTATATGGAGGAAGCATATGATTTATCATACTGAAAAAACAGTTCAATGTCCACATTGTCCTAAAAAGTTCTATAGGCAAGGTGAAATGCTTTCGCATATGAATGGCATGCATGAAAGGCTGTATTTATATTCATGTCACAAATGTGATACGCAATATGCGAAAACTGCATCAGTTAGGAGACACCTAACAGAAAAGCATGGTATACCAAGGGAAGAACAGGGTAGAATTATAAGAATTAATAAAAGAAGATTTGAATGTAATGAAATGAAAAGATGTTGAATTAAAGCAATTTTTTTGTTGAAAGATAACATGTAATTTTATTCAATAACTCCCCGTAGTTCAATGTTATGTCAAGTCATAATTACAAAATAACATTAAAAAAGTTTTTTTTTTTTTATTAGCATCATATTGCACTGCTCTGTGGGCATTAAAAAACAAATATTAAATCAGGTCCAGTAATCTTTGAGAAATTTATGGGAATTAATAGTTTATTTTTAACTAATAGAAACAACTAGGACCAAATTATTGAATATTTCGTAAGTTATAAATTTTTAATATAATTATAAGGATTCAAAATTATATTTTTAAATGTGCACAATTTTTTTTTACCAAGGAGGTAGGACAATCGTATCAAAGCCCTGTGATTGAAATGAAAAATGTACTTTATAAAATATAAAAGTATAAATAAGGGTTCTAGGAAAATTAGTAAATAGTTTTATACTGATTTTATTCTCATATTTTTTATTTTTAATATTGATTCTGATATTGTATTGTTTCGAGTTGCGGATTATCTTGGGTTTATGCAGCCCAGTATCACTGCGACCATTGCTGATCTATTGTGATCTCCACATACTACAGTTCACGGTCAAGATTACATTCTACAAGGAACTGTAGTATTTTCTTGGCCGTTAGTTCTTTAATATCGTCTGGGTGCATCACGTGCTTTCCCAGATAGATACATCGTTTTCGCATTAGTGACGGGCAATCGGTCAAAATGTGCAAAGGTGTTTCTTGATTCTGATAACAATCTCATTATTTGCAGTTATATAATTTCTTATGTCTGTATATTGATTTTATATGTTAATAGTATGTCATTATATTTGGGTTAATAAAGAGTCACTAATTTGTTGCACACAACTCTTAAGTCCGCAGTTTGTAAATTTCTTTTATTTGTTCAAAAATTTAAATAAATAAATAATTTATTAGGGAATTAACTTATCTACTTAACCTAGGTTGGGTTAAAAATCGATTTATATTTTTATATTGGGTTGGCACAAAAGTAATGAGACACACTAGAAAAATCTATAACATTTCCTTTTTAAAATCAATTTTTTCGATAATATTCTAGAATGTTGTAGAACATTCTAGGTACTTCTGGTGTAGGGTATATAAAGCCGCGCTCGCGATTTGTTTAGTCCGTTTGAAGAAAAATGGACGAGCGACAAGTTCGAACACTATACTTATACGAGTACTTGTTAGGCCACAGTGCGCGGGCTGCGGCTGACAATATCAACAATGCATTAGGCGCTGGAAGTACAAGCCATGCGACGGTGTCCCGATGGTTTGACCGTTTTAAATCAGGAGACAGGAGCTTTGAAAGTCAGCCACGCTCAGGGCGACCACCCGCAGTGACTGATGACGATTTGCGCCGCGAACTGCAGTTGAATCCGGATGCTACCACTCGTGAATTAGCGGAAGCACTTAAATGCAGTCACCACGCCGTGGAACACCATCTGCATGAGCTTGGTTATCGAAAAGTTTTGGCTCGGTGGGTACCGCACATCCTTACAGACGCCAGTCGTGCAGTCCGTGTCGCTATCTGTCAGTCACTTTTGCTGCGACCCCGACGTAAAGAGTTTTTGTCAGATCTGGTTACTGGAGATGAATCATGGATTTATTACGAGAACGATACACGTCGTGCTTTTTGGCTGCCTCGAAAAGAAACGCCACCAATTCAACCGAAGCCGAGTCAAAAGAACCGCCGAAAAATTCTGCTTTGCTGTTTCTGGGATGCGCAAGGCATATTGTTTTATGAGCTATTACACAATGAAACTATAAACGCTGACAAATATTCAACCCAGCTTCCCAAATTATCTGCCGCTATCAAGAAAAAACGACGAAGACGAGTCAATGTAGTTTTACTGCACGATAACGCTCGACCTCACGTCGCATCTGTGGTTCGCCGGCAGTTGGAGAACTTGGACTGGGAGACGATACCCCACCCACCTTATTCCCCAGACCTCGCCCCATCAGACTATCATTTGTTTAGAGCCCTGAAACAGCATTTGCGGGGTAAACAATTTGATGATTTCTCTGACGTAGAGGCGGAGTTGAACAACTTTTTCGAGGCACAGCCATCAGAGTTCTGGGCAAAAGGCATCCAAACTTTGCCGGATCGTTGGCAAGAAGTCTTAGATACTAATGGTAATTACATCATTGACTAAACTTTTTTTATTGTAATAATAATAAAAAAGTAAAAACTTAAACCAAGTGTCTCATTACTTTTGTGCCAACCCGATACAATAATAACAAATATGGCCCAATCCGCATTGGGCCAGCGTGGAGGGTCATGGTCCATCCTTCTTAACCATTCATAAGAAAGGCCTGAGCCCCTGCAGTGGGGACGTAAAAAGGCTGATGATGATGATGATGAATAACAAATATTCTTCACAAATGTGAAGGAATAGGTACTTTATTCTGCATCTATGTACATAGAAAATTACAATTTACTTGACCGCCAAACCAACATGCAACTTAATTGTATTTATTAGTTTGTTTTGGTTGTGGATAGACGGGGTTGGTATTCTAAACCGATTACAGTTGCTTAACTATTGATAGGTAGTTGACCTTGAAAACCTGGTTAGGGTACTTACCAGGTATATCGATACTATAGTTGTATTAAAACAAAAAAGTGGCTATGTGCGAGTCGGACGCAAAAACGCAAAAAAATCACGTTTAACGTATGGGAGTCCCTACAAATATTTATAATATTATTTTTTTAGTATTTGGTGTATGGCAACTGAAATATATTATCTTTGAAAGTTTCAACAATACGGTTCATAAGTTACAGACTGTGGTAAGTATGGTAACAAACGGGCGGACAGTGGAGTTTTACTTATAGAGTTTCTGTTTTTACTTTTTTAGTGTTTTAACTATTAATAATATGGACAGTTTAGAAACTATTGATAGTATAAGACTAATATTTTCAGTTACTGTATTTTATACAAGAAATATTTAATTACTAATAGTAGTACTATTATTAGTATGTAGTAATGAAATATTTAATGGCTTTGTAATTAATTTTTCGTTGGTGAATACTATCATTATTGATATCCGTTATCTTGACATTCTTAAATCTTTTAATATTCGATTACTAGTTATTTTATTTCCTTTATTAATCATGTAAATTATTACTGTCGCTTTGCACCCGTTCCTCTTTGTTCATTATTTATGTTGCCTGAAAAAGACTGCTGCTTAGCAATAAAGCCGCCTTTTGAACTTCTTTTTTATCTTGCTTGTTTTTTTTATTGCGATCTATGTAGTGTGCAATAAAGCATTATATTTTATTCATTATTGTGGTTTATTAAACTATCATAGTGTAACCTACAATTATATCGATACCATCGATATTATCAATAGTATTGACCTTAAAAACAGCGATTAGGTACTTTTTTTATTTATTATGTTATCAGAAGGTTAAAAATATTATTTTGTATTTTCAAAAAAATATTTGATATATTAAATACAATACGTATCTTTGGACGTGGTTTCGTTTTAGCGAACTCCCTTTTCCTTTGACTTGTTTGTTGTTGGCAAATTCAAATTCTGAATAATACTTACTCTTAAGTTTGTCGGGAAGGCGCTGCGTTGAACATAGAATCACGTCACTTGTAGAATATTTAAATTAGGGTCGCTGTTATGTGTAAAATATTCAAATGCAACCCCAAGATTGACTGTAGAGGAAAGGGCATGCGAACTTAAACCTATATTGCGGCCTGTTACCAAACTATCACAGTAAATAGAACATTCAGTGGGACATTTTGCTGTTTATCGTAGCCAGGTTAACATTGCATTTACATAAGCTTCTGTCCTGGTTGCCAGAACTGGCTTTGTGGTGGTGGAATAGCCGCTAAATGGAATGGGCTATTATTTTCTAACTGTAAACATTCACCTTATGCTACGTTATACTTATAGTATTCTGTGCTTTTTAATACTTTTTAGAATCCCGTACCTGTACCACAAAATAAAAACGGAACTATTAAAGAATCAATGTTCGTTCATTTGATTTGACAAAATACTGAACCGATTGTCTTAAAATTTACTGTGTATATCGCGTCAAATTATTTTAATCATGAGAGCCTATTTTTAGGGATTCATTAAAAACGAAAGTTAATATTACAATTTATCATATATGACATATCCAAGAGGTCGTTTATGAGAATCTTCAATATTTAGTTATATTTTTTTACTAACTGTTTTGTCGCATCTTCGCCTGCGTAAACTGTAGTCAGCATATGATGTACTTTCTTTAGGCACATAAATACAATATGTAGCTGAAAGAATTTTCATGATTGGATCAGTTATGTCGAAGGTTACCCCTACAAACAAAACAAAGTGAGAAACTTTACTGCTCTTTAATATTAATATAAATTATTTCAGATAAATATTTTTCCTAGCCCATTATATAAAATTTTCAAGTTCATCATTCATTAATATCCTGTTATTTTACTTAACATATCATATGTACTTCCAACATAACTAGTCAGCTGTTATTAGCTTTCGACAAATATTTGAAAATAACAATATAATATTTCATAGTTCTGAATCTATACTGCCTTCCCTTTTATTGCGATGTATTGGCTGTATATAAGTAGCTACAGACCTCTTAAGTGACCTTCCCATTTCTGAGACGCAACAAAACACTGACTCACAGTAATTAGTGGAAGCGACGGAGGGATCTCATGTTTCAATTGTACCCTCTAGGTAAATAGTTTTTACTGTTGCTTCTCAGTTCTGAAGCTTATCCCGAGGGTCCAGACTGCTCACTAGTGACCATTGGGGAATGAACCTCCCGTGATTTGAATGGAGGTTGTAACGAGTAGGAATTTTCTAGGATTTGTAAAGAGCTCCACTTTCATTTATATTTTATTGTCATGCAGAATATAAAGAAGATTACATCAGGCTATTCTCGGATTAAAAATTACTTGTAATATTTATTTATATGTATAGATGCTCGTCCACTGCCTCAGTATGCACGCACGCACGGGCCGAATGACAGTCAACGCATTGCACAGATTTTTCGATGCCAAACATCCAGTGCAGTTGCATTTTTCATAGATGCTTCTATGAAAATGCGACTGCCACTTTTGACGTTAGAATTATGCCGATGACATGATAGGATTTTAGTATGATCCTTTAAGCGTTGTGCGGCCGGTTGAAATAAAACCTCGGTGGTGCAGTGGTTAGCGCGTTCTGCCTGCAATGCCAAGGTTACGCAATTTTCGCAAGGCCGTGCATAAGATGGTTTGATCAATATATTATTATTTCGACCTTCGCTTCGGAAGGCTGCTGTAATCCGCATTGGACCCGCTGTGATGAGTCAAGGCTCATTCTCCCTGTTTGTTTCGATTCTATCCATAGGAAAGACCTTTGCTCCAATAGAGGGGTATGCCATAATAATAGAGTTAATAGAACAATGATGAAAGCACGAAAAAACATTTTGCAAAATGGACATATTTTCTTTAAAATATTATTTATAATTTTGTACAAATTTCATAATTTAGTATTAAGTACTGAAAGAAAGTAGGTAATTAACCTATTAAATATTGAGGTTTGAAGTTTAGTTGAACATAATAGATAATTAAAAGTAATA